CCATGCCCGGCTGGTCACTGTTCTTGGAACACATTTTATCCTTTTCTAACTTTGTCACTCTGTTGCTACAGTCTCCTTTTTTTGAGTGTTTCCCCATCATCTCTCTAAATCTTCATCCTAGCTCATCTCTCATGGATGCCTTTGCTTTTCCATTGTGTAGAATTATCTAGTGACGCTAACATCATGGCATTTAGATTATTGCTTTGTAGGGTTTTCAGTCAATGCTTAACTTTCCAAATAGATCACAAATTCTTAGGAGGAAATGAAACATTTAAAAATAATTATTTGTGCTTTACTCAACATCTAACATACTTTTGAACACAGTTAAATGATAACTAATGAATGAATTGCATATAAATATAAAAATACAACTTAGGGTCAAGAATAAATTTTTTACTTATTGCCTCGTTCTCTGGATTGTCCAGAAGCTTTGTCTTTGCAGGATTGCCCCAACCAAGTTCCTGAAAGATAGTAAATACTTAATAAATATTTTTCAAATAGAGTAAGTGCTTGAGTTAGATGAGTTTAGTCTTTATGGTTAGAATAAATGAAGAACAATTTAAATGCACACTGCAAAAGTCCGAACCATGTGGAAGTGACATACACAGCATATGTAGCTTATGATCTAAATTCTGCAGTGATTTAGACAGACGCCCAACTTGTTTATACAGTGGAATTCGCTTGTACTATCTCAAATTGATGGGACTGCTGCAGTAATGCAGTCAGGGGTACGACAGTGTCATGCATTTTTAGGGCTGTGGAGAGTTGCTTTCAGAGTAGACCAGTGGTTGTTAACCTTTGGAGCACATCCACTTCCCCCGAGAGCTTGTTAAAGCTCAAATTCTGGGCCTGGCCTAAGAGTATGATTTGGAAGGATTCTAGTAGTAGTCAGGTTTTTATTTCTACAAGTTCATGGGTAATACTGATGCCATTGATTCGAGGGCCACACTTTGCTAAATTACTATAGTACACATGTAATTTGTTGGATGTTGATTTTAACCATGGGAAGTTTCCATGTACTAATAATAGCACGTACATAAAAGCTGGGTGTCATAAAGCTGTGTTTAACATTGACCCAGAGTTTTAATTTGGAACTTTAAAATAGAAGAATTGGGGCCGGAGAATGTAGCTCACTGGTAGAACACCTGCTTGGCATGTGTCAGGGCCTATATTAGATCCCCTGCCCACAAAACAAAACAACCAAAACAGACTAGAGTTGGTGGTTTATAAACAGTGTTTTTGAAAAATCTCACTTTTAAAGAATGCTTTTGTACTCATCTACTCTTACACAGAATTGGTTATATTTTTTATTATTTACATACTGGTATGTGAAACTTAAGTTTCCTAACATATATCTCAGTCTGTTCTTTAAACCTTAATATAACTTGAAAGAAGAAATAAAATATGGATAAGTGGTAAACTGATGGGGATGTTAACTAATTATAGGCAGCTGTAGCAAAACAAATCATTGCTTTGACCTCACATAGCATTTCATTTGAGGTTTACTACGCAGTTTATTGAAGTTATTTTCTTGTTACCGTGAGAGTTATTACTGCCATTATTTTGTTGCTTGATAAACTGAGGCCTGAGGAAAGATTTTGAGCAAGGTAATGCTGCAGAAATTCAGGAACCTGTGCTGTGTCCTGATCTTTGAAGGCTGGGGTCCTTGGGTTTCAGCCGAATTCTTTGCCCGCTGCTGTATTTTATTTTCTTATTAAGAACATTATATCTTAAGGGCAAATCCTAAGGTGTGTCCATTTTTTTCTACTACCGAAACAAGAATAAGCATCTGATATGCCTTCCCAAGTCTGAGATTGCATAAAAACGAACCACCAATGCTTACAATTGGGTGGTAGAGCTATTTTGTAATTAAAATATCCAACATCATCCTTTTGGGGAAGTTTGTATTAACTTTTGCTATCAGGTAAACAATAAAGATATGACACTGAAAGCAAAAGAACTCGATACCAAACCCCACCAATAATGTTAGCAAATTGATGTTTTAAATAAGAGAATGGACAAGTAGGGAAGTTCAGGAGGAGAAAATGGCTGCGTGCTTTCTCAGAACATTGAAATTTGGGGAATAATGAAATTGGAACACCTCATCTCACTGGCTGGAAGGAAAGGAGTAAATGTTGGCTTTGTAGTGCAATTACAGAAGTCTAGGGCCAGTGGATTGCGTTGCCTTTCAAACAAAAGAGATTTTAGTGCTGACTCTAAGGTGAAAATTTACTTTTGTTAATCCCTCCCCTTCCCTCCTCCCTCCCCCTTTCCCTCTTTTTTCTCTTTCTCTTTCCCTCACTCTCCCCTCTTTCTCCCCCCTTTCCTCCATACACAGTACTGAGAATTAAACCCAGCGCCCTCTGCCAGCCCTTTTCTGTTTAGTTTGAGACAGAGTCTGTAGCCAGTAAGTATCCTAGGCTGGGCTCCAAGTTTACATCCTCCTGCCCCAGCTTCCATTTATTTTTTATTTTGAAACGGGTTCTCAGTAGGTCACTGAGTTGCCTGGACTGGGCTTCAATTTGCTGCCCTCCCTCAACCTCCCAGAATGTAGCAATTACAGAGTGCCACCACACTCAGTTTACACATATTTTTATTGTAAATCGTACAGGGTCTGTAGCTTGCAGTCTGAATCACCCCCTCCCCTGCATGTTTTCTCTTTTTTCTTCTGCACATTCATCCAGGGGCTGTTTTCCTAGAACTTTTATTTGGGGCATGCATTGTGCTGGGAATTTCTCTTAGAAGCTTCCTTTTCTTGTCTAGGGAAGCTTACACCTTCTCTGTGTTTTAAAAATGAAATAGCAAAGTTTTATGACTCCTTAGAGCTTCTGTTTTTAACTGACATTTGTTTCTGTTGCCAAGATACTTGAAAACCCATTATTCTGTGATTTCTTCAGCACATACTTTTCACTTTGTCTGGCAGTGTGTTGGGCATAGGGACATGAAAGGCAGCCTTCTTGCTGGATCTTGCTTTCTGGTAGAAGAGAAGGCCATTCACTGAGTTCATCTGTTTCCTTCTTGCTTGTTCATTCCTAACTCTCTGGCCGGCTAGCTTCTACTCCTTCTACCATGCTGAAATGCAGGTCCTGAAAGACCTAGTCATCTCTCTGTTGGCCTTTTCCAGAGCTGAGCCTGCTTGATCGCTTAGCAGCAATTGACATTGCAGTCCGCCCCCTCTGAATCCATGTCAGTTTCGACCTCCCGATAGTGTATGGCTTTCTCTACCATTCCTGCCTGTGCTGCCCACCCCTCATTCCCCACATACAGCCATCACAGGGTGGTGACTGCTGAACCTCACTTCCAATCCCAGCATCTCCCAAAAGCACAGATTTCAAGGTGCTCACATTCATGCACTTCTCTACCTGAAATGTTAACATCCTTCATGTTAGGTTATGTGGGACAACTCCCAACTCATACCTAGGCTCCTGTTCTTGTCTCCCTCACATATTCATTGGTGATGTCCTATCAGCCTCAATTTCTGCTGGGTTTCAGTCCTCACATGTCCCTGAGCCAGGCATCTTTGACATTTGCAGTGTTCTGAGGTCTCTGAGTCTTAACTACTTGGGTTTCCTTGACTCTTGACTTGGTAAACCTTCCAAAACACAGCTCTGATGAGATAACTTCCTTGCTCAGAAATCCTTGGTGGTTCCCACTTCTCCCAAAGAGAAACCAGAGAGCTGGATGAAGGGTTCCTTTGCCCGGCTCTGGAAAACCTTTCAGGTGGGAACTTTGTACATTCTTACCCTAGTTTTTCCATCTGGCTGCCCTACTTATCACTCCAAACTCTCCTGGCTCATTCTTCTGTCCTTACTTCACTTTTCTCCTTCCTCTCTTCTGATTTTCCATTAGCTTCCTGTTGATTTTATTTATTTATAATCATATTTATATTTATATTTTTGTTTCAGTATTTGGAATCAAACTCAGGAACTTGCACTTGCTAGGCAGGCAAGGCACCACTGAGCTACAGCCCTGGTCCAGCTTCCTGTTCTTTTAAGGTGCAGCTCAAGTGCAGTTTTTTCCATAAAGATCACTAATTCCTTCACAGGCCCAAAGTCATCTCTTCTTCTCTGAGTTTCTATAACAGTTTATGGACATTGCTACGGAGTAGTGGTGTGATCTGGGAAACTAATGTATTTTGTAATCCTCGATGATAAGCTCCCCTCGGGTAGGACAGTGACCATCTGGTGGCCATTTTAGTTACCCGGCTTAGGTCTTACACCTTTGCTTAATAAATGTCTGTCGGATGGATGGGTGAGGGATTTGTCATTTATTTTGACAATAAACAGTTTCAAGTCTTTGCCAAAGTCTAGCGAACTACAGTCTTTGAGCCACATCAGTCCTCTTCCCATTTATGTGAGTAATGTTTTATTGCAACATAACTACTCTTAACATTGACTGAATGGTCCACAAAACCCCAAATAGTTACTAACTGCCCTTTAGGAGTTTTGTCAAACTCTGGTCTATACCATTTCCCAGGTTTTTAAAGGACACAATCAGCCATGGAAAGGAGTTAAGAAAACAGGATATGCTTATTCTCTCAGCCTTTTGCTTTGACTTTCAGACAAATCTATCTCCTACCATAGGACAATAGGGTATTTATTTACCTTATTTAAATTGAACAATTAATTTTGTCATAAGAATGGGCTAGCAGGTTACTAGATTTGATACCTAGTTTCTTGAGATTAGAGTGGGAATTTCTGGGTTGAAGTTACACTGTCAGCCTTTATGTAATTAAAATTATCACTAAAATGTTTGATATTCTCAATGAAAAGTACTCAGCAAGGGTTTTTCAGCTGTGTTGCCAAAGTGATGCCAGCTTTAGAAACTTCCTGTGTTTTGCCTGTAAAAGCAGCAAATGGCTTTGCCTTTTGCCTGTGCTCTGCCTGGTAATCTGCTCCCCAGATCTGAGGAGGCAGGTGATGCATTGTTAAGGTTTAGAGGTAAAGGTTTGTGATTCCCACATTAATACTGCGGTGCCTCTTTTTCTTTTTCCTTTTTAGAGGGACGTATGGTCATCCAGGATGTTCCTGTTGCAACCAGCAGAGGGCACGTGGAGAACGCACCTGATCTGGTTGCAGACTCCACCTACTACAGCAGCTTTTACCAGCCGCCTCTGTTTCCTTACTACAATAATCTGTACAACTACCCGCAGTATTCCATGGCCTTGGCTGCTGAGTCCTCTGCTGGGGATGTGGGAAGTACCCTTGGGGGATCCCCTGTGAAGAACAGTCTTCGGAGCCTTCCAGGGCCTTATGTGCCTGGCCAGACCGGAAACCAATGGCAGGTATGCTACTACCCAGAGAGTTAACCTAATATGTGAACAATATACACGAACAGCACATACAGGTGTGTGCATAAATAGACACAGTCAAAGAGACGCACGTTTACACACATGCACCGTATGTGCGCGCAGTTCAACACACATAAGTGCAGTATATAAATCACATGAAGAATTTTTCACTCTCCTAATAATACCTCTTAATCCCAAGAGGCTGGCTGAAAGGTATTGTAAAGAAATGTACTTGTATTTGGGTTATTTTTCAAATGTTTACTTTTTTCACATTGTCCTGCTGCATAAATACCTAGTTGGCCAGAGTTGGATGCACAAGTACCTTATTGGTTGAGGCCTCACCTCCTCTGGCCTTGTTTGCCAATGAGTAGCTTAGAAAATGCTAGGTGCAGCCTTGTAGGTGGCAGTAATCTTCCTCATAAATTTGCACCCTAAGAAGGAAAAGTGTTATAATCCGTATATTTGTATAGAGGAGAGAAAACAAACTAGGACACTCTTGTGCTGGTCAGACTAGGGGTGCATTTTTTTTTTAGGAATGGAAGTTAGTCTTTCAATGTCTTAGGTATGTATGGTTGAAATAGTGTGTAAGCAGGAGCTTTTAATATTTAGAGTAAAACAAAGCATTTTGCTCTCTCAGGAAAAGAGCTTAAGTAAAAATGTTGTGCTTTCTTAGGTGTAACCACTTCCACCATACCAGTGTATTAGCAGCAGATTCAAGGTACTAAATGTATTCAGAAGCTAGATGCATATGTATGTTCTTGGAATCCATATACGGATGAGGTTAAACTTTCTGCTCCCATGCAAACCGTTTGATTATGGATGCAGTTATCATGCTCAGGATTGCTCAGCTGGGATTTGATTCCAACGCAATATAATATACATGTTTGGGAGTTAGTGCAAGTCTTTGAACTTCCTTTTTTTTTCTTTGTTTCCCCAGCTTTACTGAAGTATAGTTGACAAAAAATTGTATACGTCTTAAGTTGTACAGTGTTATTTGATGTATACATGTATTTGCACTGATTACCAGTGCAATGAATGAAGCTAATTAACAGACCTATCAGTTCCACTTTTTGTATGGCGAAAGCTCTTAAGATCGAGTCTCTTGGCATTTTTCATATATACAGTATTTTAACTATAGTCATGATACTGCACATTATTTTCAGAATTTATTCATCTTACAACTTAGTTTGTAAACTTTGACTAATATTTTCCCATTCTCCCCGCCCTAGCCCCTGCCAGCCATCGTTTCACTTCTGACTCTCTTTGAGTTTAGCTTTTTTTTTTTTTTAAAAGGTGTCCTTATGCCTACTTTAAAAAACAATTTGGGTTGAAATTCTCCTCTGAGCAATTGTATTTCTTTCTTTTTTTCTTTCTTTTGGTGCCAGGGATCGAACATGGGATCTTGCACTTCAAGGCAGGCAGTGGCGGCACCCGTATACTAAATCCCTGGCCCAATTCTATTTCATTTTGCCTCTTTTTTTCTCTTGGTGTGGGGAGGTTGTTAATATTCAAGTCACCTCACTTAATGGATTCTTTTGCTTTCCTCAGTGATTAATACTCTGAACCATACATTTCCTATCTGTTTTTCTTTTGGAATCTACTCTTTTTTGAAGGGCGTTTTAAGCACCTTTATTGGTATTAGAATTGAGAGGTAATATTAAGTGTAAAGGAAACGTGATAATGAATGGAACCAAGGTGGAGCCCTTTGGGCCTTTCCGAGTGCCACTGGATTTTAGGGTTTGGGGCAGATTTTTAGGTTGATTTCTATGGGAAACTCTTTAAATGAGAAATAAACACCTAAAAAGATAAATGGTAATAAAATAGCTTGTCTTGCAGATTTAGAGGAACAAGAGACTTTGGTTAGAGTGTCCTAGTTCTCTGGCTGCTTGCAAGCTTTGAGAATAGGGAAGGGTCTGTTGGCAGACCTGTTGGAGTAGGTGCTAAAGAATGAGAAAGCGTAATCTTAATATTTTTCTGAAATGAAGATAGCCCTCTCAAGATGGAATTCTTTAGCACAGTGAGAAATCTCTCACTCTTAACTGTCCTTTCTTTGTCAAAACCTTTGTCAAGACAGGTGGTACCTGACAGTAGCTCTTATGTTTCCTGGAAAGCCTCGAAAAGGTCTGACTGAGGGCTTGGATTCCCTTGGCCTTCTAACCTATATAACCTGGGAAGACAGGTTCTGAGCAGCACTGTTGCCTGGTGCTAGACAGCTGAGGGCCTTGATGGCACATCTGCTGAGAGAGAAGCTTGAGTTAGACTGAACCTGCTACCAAGGTGGGAGGAATAATCTTGGCTAACCATTTTAGACCTGAGGTGGGGGACCTGAGGTTTGATGTGTAGCACCTTCTCTAGAACATACAGAGCTGAAGAGCGGCACCACTGGTTAGAGCCTAGGAGAGTCCCTGATGCATCATTTCACATATGTTTGTTTTTCCAGAGTGTAGGTGGAATATTCCCTAGGCAATGGTTACTGTCTCATATAAGTTCTTTTGCAGAAGTACATGCTGCTGTCTTACTATGGTTGACAGTCACTCTTCTTAGAATCTTAACATCAGTAATGAGATCTGTAATTCACTGAGCAGTTAGTCTGATCCAAGAGGCAAGTGGTGTTGGTCTTTTTATAGGTGAAGTTATTGAGATTCAGAAGGCTGACTTTCCTGGCGTCATAGAGTGACCAGTAGAAGAGTCAGAGTTTGAATCCATGCTGGTCTGACTCTGAAGTGTGTGTCAGTACTATCTGGCTAACACTGGGTCTGCAAAAAAGCCAAAAAAACCAAAAAAAAAACCCCAAAACGACAACAAAGCTATGGAGACTGCCTGCCTCCCAGGTGCCCTCTTTGAGCTGAGACCTCAGGAGACTGTGCAGAATGTGTACTTTATCCTCCAAATGTGCAGATGAGCCTTAGCTGGGGATCAGTTCAGTATGAACACCCAGGACCTCATTTAGTTCTTTAGGGCTTGGAATTATGACCTAAGCCTTTTGTTTCCCGTTGATGATCCTTTTGGAGCTCACTTCCAGTTTCTTCACTTGTGGAGATCAGAAATAAGTAGGGATTTCTATAACAGGGCTGATGGGTGGTTGTTTCACATAAGCTGAGAATAGAGCCCTGATTCTTTCCTGAAATATGCAGTCTCCACTATCAGTATTTAAAATATGATGAATTCTTTGCTATTTTGAAATTACAGGACTTTTGGAATCTTCATACTGATTTTCTGTGGCTGTGATTATTACCAAAGCACATTTAGGCACTTGTGTGATGTGTGCATAACATAAAAAAGTTCCTAACAGTTTGGATATAGGAGCGCCACCATATGGCCTGTTACTTTTCAAGCTGTGGATTAATCTTATAACCAAATGGAAAAACAAGCTTGACTTACAGTTTTCTTTGTTTTTGTTTTGGTACTGGGGATTGAACTCAGGACCTTGTACTTTCAAGGCAGGCGGCTGCACCAATGAGCCCAGCCCTACTTACAGTTTTTTGGTTATGCCCACAAAAATTATAGTGATGCCTCAGTTCATGAACTTAATTCTTTCCATGATTCTGGTTGCAAACCGAATTGGACAAGAACAGAATCAAATTTCCCCATAAGATCCACATTGAATCTAACTATTGAATTTGATTCAGTTCTCATCCATCTGGGTTTATGATCAGAATTGTGGATCGTTTGTGCACTGAGGTACCATTGTTAGTTTTACTGGAAATAAACTTTTACATTAAAAGTACAAGAGCCAACATAGATACAACTCAACAGTTTGCAGAGTGACAGAGTCAGATCAATGCATTGATAATCAGAGCTGAAATGGATACTGGAGGGTTCTAGTCCACCCCCATTCTACTACAGAGAAAACAGGTGCAGAGCTGACGGGATTGTCCCAGAAGCTACAGCTGTTGATAACCATTCCATTGATCTGCCAAAGGAAAACCTGAGTTCTAGTCCTGGAAGATCCATTTTTAGTTCTAACTTAAGATTTAGCTATGGAGCCTTTAGCAAAATATCCACTAAATCTCCATTTTGTATCTGTAAAGTGGGTGTAGTGTAATCTTCATGGGACTGTTAGCATGGATTCGTAAGACATTATGGTATCTGAAGTGAGGTGATCAGCTTATGTGAGTTTCTGTTTAAATGAAGAAGTGCTGTGCTGTTACTAGTTGCAGTGAATTCATTTCACTTTTCAGTGTTTCCATTTGGTCTTGCTTTTTAAAAATTTATTTAATTCACAGTTTGTTTATATGCATTTTAGTTAGCTACATAGGTCTCGCTCATAACAAGGAAGCACGTAAATGTACATTTTAATTATGATTAAAAGCCTGACAAGACTGACATGGTGGCACTTGCCTGTAATCCAGGCATTTGGGAGACTAAGGCAGGAGGATCCTCAAGTCCAAGGCTAGCCTGGTTAACTTAGTGAGACTGTCTCAAAAAAGACTTCAAAAGACAATGATGTAGATATGAACCAAGTATGAATGTATACAGAATGATTTTTATATCATTGTGAAGAATTTGATCCACTTAGGAAACAAAACATAAAGCATAAAGTTTATGATAATGGTACAAAATGTATTCATTAAGATATATTTATGAAGAAGTACAGTATTAGATAAAAACCTACAGATGCTACTTTTAGCTCATGTGGAAGGGATAGGAATGGGTGGCTCACTTTGTAATCAGAGCAATCTTTGCAGCTATCAGAAGTGTCAGGAACAGGAATCTGGAATAAGAGAGTCCTCACCTTGCTGTTTTTTTGTGAGAGATGCTAAAACATTGCCCTTTTAACTTTGCCTTGTCTCTCCAGGTGGTAGCTTCCCAGGGAGTATGGGTTGAAGTTCTCCCATGGCAAATTGCCCTGTTTTTCCATCTTCATTGAGGGAGGTGTTCCAAAGCTGCCTCTGGGAGCACCTATGGGTTCCTCTACTCCTGCCTACCATAGATCCCACCCAGATTAAACCCAAGGCCTGGAATTCCACTCTCTTGCATTCACTTTCTTGATT